CCTTCTCCTCACCCTCACAGGTGGCCACCCGCCGGCGGAAGAAGAAGGGCGACTATGAGTTCGAGCACCAGCACCTGGGCTATTACCTGACACACTTAGACCTGAGGAAGCTGCAGTGACAGGATCCATCGGGGGTCCCTTTACCCAGCCAGGACCGAAGGCTGCTTGGCTGGAACATATAAACCACATTGGTCAGACACAGTCTCTGAGCCTTTCTTGATTTGGCCCCTGGCGAGTTCACTGGGAACCAAGAGACCAGTCTCCTCCCTTCACAAAGTCCCAGAATCAACCACCAGTGTGTCTTGTGGTTCTACACTGTGTCATCCCTCAGGAACTCCAGAATTGGTAAAACAAGTATAGACGTTTCCATTTTATAAAACCAACATCCAACTTGAGTGTGAGTTTTCCCTCCTTGGTTACCCAGTACACACCTGAGTTTTCCCTCCTTGGTTGCCCAGTACATACATTTTGTTTTTCCTGGATGGCTTCTTGCCCACCTCGGGGGTTCTCCAAGATGGGAAATGACCAAGGAGGAACGAGTGGGTCAGAAATAATCCTACCATCAGCCTTGGGACGTGGTAGCTGACATGACTAGATATCTGGGAAGCCTCTGTCCCCATGTATGAACAAGGTTCTATAAAGAGAGTGTCTGCTTTAGATATAAAGATGAATAAACACTGGGGAGTGGGAATCTGAGGGAAGGCAAAACTTTTTAAAAGTCTTTCTCTGGGCAGGGCATAGTGGCTCATTCCTGTAATTCCAGCACTTTGGAAGACCGAGGTGAGAAGATTGCTTGAGCCCAGGAGTTCAAGACCAGCCTGGGCAACATAAAGAGACCTTGTCTCTTTTCATTATTATTTCAAAAAAATAAAAAATAATAAGCCAGGCATGGTGGTACGCACTTGTAGTTCCAACTTCTCAGAACACTAAGGTGGAAGAATGACCTGAGTCCAGGTGGCTGAGGCTGCCATGAGCCACGATCATAGTGTCATGTTACTGCACTCCAGCCTGGACAACAGAGATCCTGACTCAAAAAAGAAAATATTTCTCTGCACTGGATTTAAGTAGACAGTTATAGAAGAGGCCTCCCCAGCAAACAGCCCTAAGCATCTCAGGCATGAGGCTAGCTGTACTGTCTTGCCTTGGGTTTTCTGGAATCAATCACAATATCTCTACTCATTTTGCAGACTACCACAACTGATGACGTCCAGGGGCTAGGAATTAAAATTCCAGCAATGCCACCCATTCAGATGTTTTTGGTACAAGCCTTGGATTCTCAGTCTTAAGCAGTCCTTCTCTGAGAATGCACTCTGTAAAGATTGCAAGAACGATAAGAATAGCTATTGACAACTTAAGAATCTGCTAACCACCATGGTTGTCAGGCTCTGTGTGCATTATCCCAGTTACACTTACTAGCCTTGAGGGCTTTAGTCCCACTTTATGGCTAAAACTTTGGAAGCTCGGAAACATTAGATAACTGGACAATGAAGGGACAATGAAGGGGACAGAATTACTTAGAACCTTGATTGTATACCCACACTCTCTGTCAAAGAAAGAGAGAAAGGCATTTCTAGACGTACAGATTGGTTCACAGTTGAACTCCTGTAGGTCTTTGGTAAAAGAACCAGTAGAGAATGCAGATCAAGGAAAGAAATGTTTGACGTCTAGGAAGCACAAGAAAAATGAATAATTTTTTTTTAAATCAGGGTCTAACTCTGTCATCCAGGCTGGAGTGCAGTGACATGATCACAGCTCACCACAGCCTTGACCTCCTAGGGTCAGGTGATCCTTCTACCTCAGCCTCCTGAGTAGCTATAACTATAGGCATACTCACCATGCCTGGCTAATTTTCTTTTTCTAGAGACAAGGTCTTACTATGTTGTTCAGGCTGGTCTCGAACTCCTGCGCTCAAGAAATCCTCTTGCCTTGGCCTCCTAAAGTGCTGGGATTACAGGCATGAGTCACTGCACCTGGCTAAATAATTTTCTTAACAAAAGGAAAATAGGCCAGGTTCAGTGGCTCAGTCTGTAACTCCAGCACTTTGGGAGGTCGAGACAAATGGATTGCCTGAGCCCGCAGGTTCAAGACCAACCCAGGTAACTAGGTGAAATCTCGTCCCTACAATAAATCAAAAATTAGCCAGATGTGGTAGCACATACCTGTAATTCTGGTTACTTGGAAGACAGAAGCAGAAGGATCACCAGAGCCCAGCAGGTCAATGCTGGGGTAACCGTGAGTATGCCACTGCACTCCAGCCTGGGTGACAGCATGAGACTCCAACTCAAAATAAATAAATAAAGGAGAATAAATGAAAACCCAGGAAAACATATTGGGATGAAAAAACAGGAGTAATTGGGAAAAGAAAAAATAAATCTGTCTAAATTAGTGTTTGCTTTAAAGCAAATAGGACATTGAAACACTAGCCGGGCTTGGTGGCTCAGCCTGTAATCCCAGCGCTTTGGGAGGCTGAGGTGAGTGGATTGCCTGAGCCCGCGGGTTCAAGACCCACCTGGGCAACTTGGCGAGGCCTCATCTCTACAATAAATCAAAAAATTAGCCAGGCGTGGTAGCGCGCGCCTGTAGTTCCATCTACTCAGAAGGCTGAGGTGGAAGGATCGCCAGAGCCCAGCAGGTCGAGGCTGCGGTGGCCGGGAGCAGCCACTGCACTCCAGTCTGGGTGACAGAGTGAGACTCCAACTCAAAAAAAATAAAAATAAAAACACATTATGAGAGTCCAGATGATTACCAGATGGAAACACAGAGAAGAGATGAAATTTTAAAGTAATTCATTTTTAACAATTGTTTAAAATTTCATTTTCTGTATCATTAATAATAGATAATGAATAGTAATTCTATTTCTCCACCCCACTTAATGAATGGTAAATCTATTTTCTCTTCCCTATGATTTTCTTTATAGCATGTTCTTTCTCTAGCTGGCTTTATGGTAAGAATACAGTATGCAATGTATAAAACATTCAAAAAGTATGTTCATCAACTGTTTATGTTTCCAGAAGGCTATTAATAATTAAGTCTGGGGGGTGTCAAAAGTTATACTTGGATTTTTGACTGTGTGGAGGGGTCAGTGCCCCACCACCCGCATTGTTCAAGGGTCCACTGTATATATCAAAACATCATGTTGTACACCTTAAATATATACAGTAATTTTCTTGAGATAAAATTCCTGATTTTGTTCTTCATAAATGGGAGCTAAACACTGGATACACACAGACATAAGGATGAAAACAGGCTGAGCAGGGTAACATGCCTTGCAATCCCAGCACTTTGGGAGGCCAAGGCAGGAAGACAGCTTGAGCCCAGGAGTTTGAGACCAGCCTGGGAAACATAGTGAGACCTCATCTCTGCAAAGAAATCAAAACATTAGCCAAGTGTGTTGAACACACCCGTAGTCCCAGTTACTCGAAAGGCTGAGACAGAAGGATTGCCTTAGCCTGGGAGATCGAGGCTATGGCGAGCCATGATCAAGCCACTGTGCTCCAGTCTGGGTGACAGAAGGAGACCCCTTACTCAAAAAAAAGAAAGGTTTTAAAGGTAAAACAACAGACACAAGGGACTCCTAAAGGGAATACGGAGAGAGAGAGAAAGGGTGGGAGGGAGACCAAGGTTGAAAAGCTACCTATTGGGTACCATACTCACCATTTAAGTGATAGGTTCAATAGAAGCCCAAACCTCACCATCACGCAATAACTCATGTAACAAACTTGCACTCATACTCCTTGAATCTGAAAGAAATGAAATAAAATACAAATAAATAGGGTAAATAGTAAATGAAGGCTGGATGTGGTGGCTCAAGCCTGTAATCCCAACACTTTGAGAGGCTGAAGTGAGAGGATTGCCTGAGCCCAGGGGTTCGAGAACAGCCTGGGCAACATGGTGAGATCTCCTCTCTACAATAAATCAAAAACATTAAGCATGCACCTGTAGTTCCAGCTACTTGGAAGGCTGAAGCAGAAGCATCATCTGAGCCCAGCAGGTCAAGGCTGCGGTGGCCGTCAGCATGCCACTGCACTCCAGCCTGGGTGACAGAGTGAGACTCCGACTGAATAAAAAAAAAAAGTAAATGAAAATGGAACTGTAACATGAAAATGGAAAAATCTTTTGCCCTCACCTGAAGCCCCACCTCTCACCTCAAAAAAAAAAAAATAAAACTGCTGTCTGTATTCTTTTGTGTCACACAAAGAAGCTTAATAAAGGAAGTGCAGGCCGGGCTCGGTGGCTCAGCCTGTGATCCTAGAACTTTGGGAGACTGAGGCGAGTGGATTGCCTGAGCCCACAGGTTCGAGACCAGCCCAGGCAACTTGGTGAGACTTCGTCTCTACAATAAAATAAAAAATAGCTGGGCACGGTGGCTTGCGTCTGTAATTCCGGCTACTCGGAAGGCTGAGGTGGAAGGATCACTGGAACCCAGCAGGTCGACGCTGGGGTGGCCATGAGTGTGCATGCCACTGCACTCCAGCCTGGGCAAAGGAGTGAGACTCTAACTCAAAAAAATGAAAAAAAGTGCTAGGTGGGAGCCTGGATAGCTCAGTTGGTAAAGCATCAGATTTTTTTTTTTTTTTTTTGAGTCAAGGACTCACTCTGTCGCCTAGGCTATAGTACAATGGCACCCTTACGGCTCACCACAGCCTCGATCTCCCAAGCTCCAGCGATCCTTCCACCTCAGCCTCCTAAGTACTGGCACTATAGGCGTGCACCACCATGCTTGGCTAACTTTTTGATTTTTTTATAGAAATGAAGTTTCACTGTGTTGCCCAGACTGGTCTCAAACTCCTGGGCTCAAGCAAGCCTCCTGCCTCAGCCTCCAAAAGTGCTGGCATTACAGGTGTGCACCATCATGTCTGGTCCACATCAGACTTTTAAAGAAAGTATTAGGAAATTTTAGTTTCAAGAGCTCAAAGAAAAAAAAAAAAAAAAAAAAAAAACATTATGGGACACATGGACACTACAAAGAGATGGTAGTAAAGGGCCATGCTTTATTTCATCTACATTGTCTTCCCTTTGGGGACACAGTGTTTTATGGGGTGTCTTTCTTGGTCTTTTGCCTTCTCTGCCTCACTAGCGAGTCCGTCTGCAGTCAATGCTGTTGCGAGTCTCTCTCTCGCCATCTCCACTTTCCTTTCCTGTTTTCTAATATCTTCCTCGGTGACCAGCAAGTGCTTGCAGAGGAATGGTGAGATATCCACACCTGCTTCGGGAATTTTCTCTGCCAACTCTGAATGCTGGGCAGATGCAAGCGTGGGGCAGGAGTGCGGGCCAGCAAGAGCCTCCGGTAGGAATGCACCTGTGCAGCTAGGTGCAAGTCTTTGCAAGGTGTTGGCAAGATCCAAAGAACTCAACAGCTCACCGGAGCTGCTGTAGGCCTGGAGTCCCTGCAGTCTCTTCTGCCAAAAGATCTGCTGAGGCTTGTCCAAATTCTCCTCCCACTGATGGTATCTAACCTCATTGCCAGGATGTGATGTAATTCTAGTAACCGGCCTCTTGAAGATGTAACTAGACATCCTCAAAGGACTCAATATACTTAAGCCAGGCTTTGGTTTGGATTGGTTTACACAGTCACGTTGCTTCCTCTGTGAACTCTTGGCCATCATATTTCTCTTCTTCTTATGCTGTAAACATAAATCGTGAAATCAGATCAAAATGACAAATGAAGATTGCCTTCTCAGGATAATGATCTTGGAACTTCTGGGCTTTCATCTTTCCTCTCTCCCTCTGGGGATAGGTCTGACCTGCCTCCTGGGACATCAACAAGTAGATCTGAGTCAAGTACATAAAACTCAAGGTCAAAACTCTCCTCCACTGCCCTACAAATCCCCTCCCTCTTTGAGCATCATTTTATTCTCTTTTTGTCCTTATAACCCTCAAGTGCACAAGTCCTGATCTTTTTCTCTCATGACACATGCAACAGTCTTTTCCTAGATCTCAAATCTGGCCAGGCATCATGGCTCATGCCTGTGATTTCAGAACTTTGGAAGGCTGATGTGGGAGGATTGCTTGAGCCCAGAAGTTTGAGACTAGCCTAGGCAAAATAGAGAGACCTTGTCTGTACAAAAATAAAATAAAATAAAATAAATAGGGGATGCAGTGGCATGCACCTGTAGTCCCAGCTACCCAGGAGGTTAAGGTGAGAAGATCACCTGAGCTCAAGAGGTCGAGGCTGTGGTAAGCCATGATCATGCCACTTCACTCCAGCCTGGGCAACAGAGTGAGTCCCCAACTCTAAATAAATAAGTAAATCCTAAATCCTGCTAGTCTCCTGCATTATTTGACTATTCATTTGATTAGCCCATTGACCTCTTGGTAGCGTGTCAACAGTGAAATTATCAACTGCTCCACTCTTAGAAACTCAATCCCTTACTCCAAAAGTTTCTCCATCAACCCAAATAGTCATGCTCAGCCAGGCTCGGTGGCTCAGCCTGTAATCCCTCGCTTTGGGAGGCTAAGGTGAGTGGATTGCCTGGGCCCGCGGGTTTGAGACCCGCCTGGGCAACTTGGCGAGACCTCATCTCTACAATAAATCAAAAATTAGCTGGGTGTGGTAGCGCACGCCTATAGTTCCAGCTAGTTGGAAGACTGAGGCGGAAGGATCGCCTGAGCCTAGCAGGTCGAGGCTGCGGTGGCCGGGAGCGGCCACCGCACTCCAGTCTGGGCGACAGAGTGAGACTCCAACTCAAAAAAAAAAAGTCATGCTCAAACATAAGTAATTCAGAAAACTATTCACCCACCACAAATGTGCGATTTCCAGCTTCTTTATTCAAATACCCACACCCTAAATACCTGTCCCTCAAGAACAGATGTTAGGCCAGACCACCAATCTCCAACTTCCTCTCACTCCTCTTATTCCTACGGCTCTTGGATTCTGTGGTCTGTGATCTCAATAATTCCTTTGGAATCATCCAAAATTCCCTGTCACTCACCATATCTGCCTGTAAAACTTCAAACCTATCATCCACAATGCCATAGCTACTGCTGGCCTCATCACTGTCCAAGAAAAAGCTCACAATTAAATATTTTGATACCACCACAAATATAAAAGATTCAACGTCAACTAGGATGAATCCATACTGCCTGGAACTTTTACTTTCTTTGTATATGTTGGCAGATTTACTCCTTGATTTTCTCCCAAGGCCAGTTTCAAATATTCTCCATTTTCTTTTTTCCTCATAATATCCTCACGTTTCCTTAACTTACCTAATATTTCACAGAGAAACTGCTGAAAGATTGAAATGTCATGGATCAAACAAACATTTGCAAAAATTTGCAAATCTCCCTGAGAGGTTGCCACTGCTTCCAAAGTTCTCCGAATTACATTTCAAGAGATTTTCTAACTGACACTGAAGATTTAGAAAGGGGAGGGGAGAAGGGGCAGAGGGATGCAAAATCGCCTATCCGGGACAAGGTGCACAGCTGGGGCTGGTGGGTACACTTAAAGCCCAGACCCAAAACTATTTGTAACCCCTAAAGCTAGCGAAATAAATGGGGGGAGGAAAATTGATAGATAGATGATTATATAGATAGACAGATGAGATAGCTAGATAGATGATATAGATGATGATGATGATTAATGACTAAATAGGTGATTAGATAGATGAGATAGACAGATAAATGATATAGGTGATGATGACAGATAGATGATTGATAGATGGATGACATAGATGGATGAGATAGATAGATAGATAGATAGATAGATAGATAGATAGATAGATAGATAGATAGGTAGGTAGGTAGATAGATAGGTAGATGATAGACATATTTGTAGAGAGATTTCCTTTATCTTCCAGCGGTGAACTGAGTTTCATTTCTTCTTCCTTTGCAGGGATTTGACGCCCTCCATATTCCAATTTGGCTCCCATGTCTTCAACTTCTCTTTTTCTACTGAATCTTTCCTTCAGAATTTAAATATATTCAGGTTTCTCCTGACTACACAGAAACCCCTCACCTAACCTTGTGGGGACCTCTCCTCAACTATTGCTTTCTATTTCTTCCCCCTCAGTGAACCATTGAGGAAAGGTTGCCACATCCTAGTCTTCGTCTCCTCACCTCCAAGCAACTCCCCAGGCAACTCCAAAGTTCTATCTGTCTCTACCATTCAATGGTTTGCTTCTGTTGCTAAGGTCACAAGGATGCCTTTGTTATCAGAGCCAAAAGGGACCTTCATTGTTCATCTGACATGGAGCTTTAAGTGGAAAACTTGTAAGTATGTGGGGAACAACTTGAATACATGAATTTCATTTGACTACTGGGAGTCTAATAAAATCTAAATACAGAGAAGGCATGGCTGATAAAATTCAACTCACAAATGGAGATGTGCTGTAAGGGGAAAGAACGAACTAGGTTTCTGGAACGCCGCACAAAATCAAAATGAATGTAAAATATCTCGTTAATTTTTATATTGATTGCCTATACAAATGATAATATTCTGGCTATAATGGGTTAAAATATACTTTTAGAATCTGTTTGACCCATTTGCTTTTTTACTTTTCTGAATGTGGCTACTAAAAATGTTTAAGTTTATAATATAGAGTGTTTGATACTACAATGAGCACAGGTCCAAGCCATAAATGAAAACAAAGCCCATTGAGAGTGGTCTGGGAACATTTTTCCCAAGGAGTCTGCCCTGTCCCCTGCTATAAGATGTAGCAATCTCTCTCTCTCTCTCTCTCTCTCTCTCTCTCTTTCTCTCTCTCTCTCTCACACACACACACACACACACACACACACACACACACACACACACACACACCCCTACAAAACCAAACATCCTCCAAGATTCCCACAAGTACCTCTCAAATGCCATGAGGTACCATCCTAATTAATACTAATTGGATTGATCTCAAGAAATTAATCAAAAGTCAACACAATTTAGCAATTAGGAAAAGCCAGAACCAGAAATTAGAGTCAAGATTTTTTGTGAATTTCCCTTGTGTTGGCTTCTGTTACAAATTCAATACATTTGGAAAACTTTTCAAAGAGTATCATTTTAAAAATCACTTTATCTTAGGGATAAATCCACTTTAGCATGACAAATGATTTTTTAAATGTACTATTGAATACAGTTTGCCAGACTTTTTGAGTTTGTTTATTTTTGTTTTTGAAGATTCTTGCATTTATGTTCATCAGTGATATTGGCCTGTAGTTTTCTTTTCTTGTAGTGTATTTTCTGGCTTTGGTGCCAGGATGATGTTGGTTTCATAAAAGTTTAGAAGTATTCTCTTCAGTTTTTTGGAAGAGTTTGAAAGGGATTGGTAATAAATATTTGGTAGAATGCAGCTGTGAAGTTATCTTATTCTGGGCTTTTCTTGGGAGGTTTTGCTTACTGATTCAACCTTCTTACTAGTTATAGATCTGTTCAGATTTTCTGTTTATTATGATTCCGTTTGGCTAAGTTGTGTTTCTAGAATTTTGGTCATTTCATCTAGGTTAGCCAATTTGTTGTTATACAATTGTACATAGTCCTCTATTGTAATCCTTTTTATTTCTGTAAAATCAATAGTAATGTCCATACATTTATTTCAGATTTTAGTAATTTGAATCTTCTGTTTTTTTCTTAGTCAATGTAGTTAAAATTTGCCCATTTTATTGATCTTTTGAAGAACCAACTTCTACTTTTGTTGATTTTCTGTATTGTTTTTCTTTTCCCTATTTTATCTCTGTTCTAACCTTTATTATCTCCTTCCATGTGCTAGCATTGCTTTTCTTTATTCCTGAAGGTGGAAAGATAGATTATTGATGTGAGATAAATAAATTAGAGATCAATGTTTATCTGAGATCAATTAAGTGGTGTGTCTGTGGATTGCACAGGTCCTGATCAATGATTGATACTGACCTTTTACTTTCTTGCTTAAATCATCAGATGAAATTATGCTCCAAGGTCCTTTGCTGATTTCAACTGCAGCTAATTCTAACCCTGCCAAGTCCCTCAAGGCTATCGTTTGACACAACCACTGGTAGCTCCTTGCAGGACCATACATCATGGATACGAGATTGTAGAACTCTATATTTTAGGGCAAGGCAGTCCCCAAAGGCTAGTTGGTCACAGACCATGATGAACTCATAGAAGCAAAGGAAAAATATTTTTTGCCAGCAAGGAGACAGACAAGTGCAGAGCTCCCAGGTAGGAGGGTCCCCAGAACTCCTGGACGGGATTGAAATGACACAGTGAAAAGAGGGAAACTAGACCTGCTCTGATCCCAGAGACACCAAGGGTGAGGTGTCAGCACCACGACTCCCTTCCTTGTTCCTTCTAGTTGTGCCCTCGTCTGGCATGTCAGCCTAGCACAGGTCCCAAGGTGTTTTCACAGGCTGAGAGGCAGTGAAGTAGAGACACTCGGTGGCACCCATGGGGAGACCTGAACCTTAAGACTCACTCCAGCCCCGCCTTCCCCTCAGCTCGGCCTAGACACAGGGCTCTGTCTCCATGTCGGGCAGACCCTGAAATGTTCCTCACTCTGATGTGTCTCTTCCTACTCCTGCAGCCTTTCCACACTCTAAATGGGGTGACTTATCCAGGCTGCTTCAAATGCTTAAAGCCAAGTGTCTACAGAGATGCAAACCTGGTACTGTGAGTTGATTCTCCCTTTACTTCCTGAAGCAGGAGTCAGACATATTCCGGCTATCTTTTGTGCTCGGGTCAACTTGAGAAGTGACAACTCATCTGTAAACTCTTGGTTGTGCATCTGTGTTGAAACCCCCCCAAAAAATTAAGGTGCCTATAGCCATGGTGGAAATGTAGACCAATGAATTCTTTGTCCCTCTATGACCTTCCTTTTTTCTTTTTCACTCTACTCCCTTCAAAATAGAAAAGAGAGGTACACCTATAATTTCACCACTTTGGGAGGCCAAGATGAGAAAATTTCTTGGGACCAGGAGTTCGTGGCCAGCCTGAGCAAACTTGTCTCTACAAAACATACAAAATTTTTAAAAATAGCCTGGCACAGTGGCACATGCTTGTAGTTCCAGCTTCTTGGAAGCCTGAGGCCAGAGGATCACTTGAGGAGGTCAAGGCTGCAATGAGCTAAGATTGCACCACTGCACTCCAGACTGAGCAACAGGGCGAGATCCCATCTCAGGAAGGAAGGAAAGGAGAGAGAGGGAGGGAAGAAAGGAGGGAGGAAGACAGGGAGGGAGGGAGGGAGGGAGGGAGCGAGGGAGGGAGGGGAAGGCAAGAGAAGGAAGGGAAGAAAGACAGACAGGAGAAATCTGTATCTTTGTGTTACCCACTCCATCATCCTAATCCCCACTATCAGTATCTGGGGGACTTGCGTAAATGAGACTGTTGGGACCCCAGTCCTTCCTACTGTCAGGACCCATGAAGTGTCTCACACAAGTGCCCTGAGACACTGACCTCTTAGCCTGAGGTCATTGTTAGCATCAAGGGGCTCTCCAGGTGCCCACTGCTGACAAGGGCAATGTCTGAGATCCATCACCCTGAAGAGACCACGTCCCACTAAGTGTCAGGAGCTTAGTACAATAGGAGTAAGGCATTCTGGCCTGTGTGACCCTGGAAACCAACAGATGAAAAGTAGATCAGCCTTCAGGGGGGCGAATGCCCTGCTCATTGATCCTCATCCCTAGCTTCTCCGGGAAAATGAGAACATGGTCTCAAATCTGGGCCCCATCCAGCTGTGTGGCATGTGTGTCTGTGAGTGAGTTACTACATTGGTGCTTTTCTAGAAGTTACCAGCAGACAGCCTATGCTCTGTGTTCTGTTTTCCTCTAAAACATTCACTATTTCGACAAGCCCGTGTCCTCAGAAGAGGACTAAGCGGTATGCAGTATGTTTTCATGATGTGTCTCTATCTTTAGCAATTCCTTTAGGAATATTTGGCACTTTTCATTTCTGCAAGTGGCCGTGCCCTGGAGGGAGGTGATCATGGAGTTGCAGGTTTGGGGGGTAGAATTTCAGCTGTTGTGTCTCTTGTGTATGAGAACTTCTGCCTGTTTATTCCTTGTGCCCTCCAGTTGTTTCGAGTTTCCTTACCTCTTTCTCTCTCATTAACCAAAACATCCAATGGAATATTTGCAGCGATCATTGTACCCATTCTCTGGTTAGAAGGAAGCTACTGGTTGTTTTCACTCTAGCAGGGTCAGGGCAGCAGGAAGCGAGTATCGGAGAATGTAGGATCCTCTGATCTCAGATGCTCTGTGGGGAAAGTGAGAACCTGTCTTTCCATATACCAGTGTGGGGTGCAGGGTGAAAATTCTCGCCCATGTCACAAGGCTGGAGGCAAAACTTGGCACTCTGTCCTCTGCCCTGCAGCCAGAGAAGTTTCTGGCCACTTCTATTCTAAGTAGAAACGGTCCAGGCATCATATAGTTGTCCAGCCCTGGAATTTGTATTACTAGACTTTGTGGGTTACAATGTGGGTACACATTATCAACTTCATTGTGCACCTAGTTTCTCATATCTAACATATCTTGATCATGATTCAATTATAACTAATGTACCTTGGTATTGTTCTAATGCCTACAAATGTCATTTCATATGGCTATGCCAATACTTATTTAGCCATTGTCACTAGTCTTATGTGACAATAAACAGGAGGTATTTTAACTTTTAACAAGCTTCTAGCATGTCTCTGATTTATGCCATTGTAGAATTGCTGGGTTGATAAATACACACATTCACAAACTAACACTTCACAGCCCCACTAGCTGAGGGCAGAGTCATTCATTTCCTAAACTGGATATTTTAAAATTATTTTTGCATTACTCAAGAGGCACAAATATAATGCTGTTATTTTTATTTGTTCCTCTTTGCTGATTAAAGATTCTCAACATTGCTGCCTATGTTGACAGATAATTGTATATATTTGTGAAAAAAGAATATGTTCATAGCCTTTATTTTTATGACATTTCTACTGGGTTGTTGGTATTTCATTTACCCATAATAGTTTATTTATCCATAATCTTTATGTAGTAATGAGCTGAGCCCGTTGTTGTCAGTTTTACAATTGTCCATCTCCATTCTATTAAGCTAAATCGAAGTTAACACCACTCCAATCAGCAGCTGCATATCTTCCTGGACATCCATTCCTGGCACACTTGAGTTTCCGAAGGTGCAAAAGACAGCAGGTCACAGCCAGAAACTGCCCACTGCGAAAATGAGCAGTCATTCACACCTACAGCTCTTGAAGCTTCCCAGCTCCATGCCTCGGAGCTGCCACAGCCCCGCTTCCGTCACGCTGACTCCCCCAGAATCAGGATAAACACTGTAATAAAAGGGGGCAAGGCGGTGGCTAGCAGTCTGTCCAGCAAAGGCATAGCAAACCAGGGCAGGAAAGAGACCTTGCTGCAATGGGAAACTAGAACTGGAGGCTTGCAGCTTCTCAGGGAAGAGAGGAGACAGTCGGGGGGAAGATCATTCAACACTATTCCCTCATTTTTTCCCTTTGCGTGTATCAGTATCTCACACATTATGCAGGTATCACGTTCATTGTTCATTTCCCTGCCCACCACACACTAAAACGCAAGTTCTCTAAGGACAAGGACTTGTATCTGTTTTGGTCAGTCCATATCCACAGTGCCTAAAACAGTGACTTAGGAGGGGATCTCTAAGCCTGTCTTCTATGAATGACTACAGCAGACATACACGTCCACACTATATCTGGAAGAATAGAGGAGAAAATGATGTTTACATCTGGGCAAAAGGACTGAGACAGTGGGGAGTGTGAATATTTTACTGACTTTGCACCACTGCTTGAAGTTTTCCTTTATGTGACAAGTCTTCCTGTATGTGTATCTTATCCAGTCCCCTCCTGTCCCTCCAAAACATAAAATAGTGCTACATCACTATCTTCTGCCTTGGAAAGCGAGTTGTAGAGAAATCTGATTCTACTGGGTTGCTTCAATGCGGAGGAGCCGAAGAAAAGTTTTGCTGAGTATCCCTCCGTCAGCACAGAATCCACGAGGAACCCCGCCTCCAGCCGCGCCCCCGGAACTGAGCTCCCATCGTCTCGGCCTCTGGGCCTGTCCATCCCGCCCCGCTCCCGCCTCTAATCCCGCCCATATCGCCGCCCCCGGAGCTGGTCGCCGCCCATTCAGCCCCGTCCCCAGAACAGTACTCCACTGCCGGCCCGCCGCCCCCAGACCCAGTGCCGCCTTCAGTCCGCCCCTGAAACTGGTTTCAGCCCACAGCCAGTCTCTGCGGACACACACACACGCGGAACACACACACACACGAGATGGCCCACAGCCCCGCCCATAGCCCCGCGCTTCGGACTGGCCCCGCCCCCCAGAGCCGACCCAGTCCCCGAGTTGTCCAAGGCCAGGACCTAACCTCACAGTCTAGCAAACTAGAACACCTCGGCCCGAAGTCGGGGTGCGCAGCCGCCTGTCCCGCCCCGCGACCCGCCGCGTCCGCCGCAGCAACCAGCCCCAAAGCCCCTACACGTCCCTCTCACTGGGGCGACCAGTCCGAGGCCGGAAGCGGACGTGCGGCGCGGCCGCCGAGACCGGAAGCGGAAGCGCGGGGCGGCGCCGTGGGCGGGGCTGCGCGCTGGGCTCTGGGGAGCGAGTCGCTCTGTCTCCGCGAGTCCGCCCTTGTGGCCCAGCGGCGGGGGCCGGACTCGGTGAGCGGCGGGCGGGGGCTCGGGTCTGAGTCCGGGGAGGGGCGTGCGCGGGCACCCCCCAGCCGCGGACCCTCGTCCCTCCCGGAAGCCGCGTTTCCGCCCCTGAGCTCCCGGGCTGTTCTTTTTGTTAGCTGCTCCCTCCCTGGCTGGGACCTCGCGCTGCCGCCTCCTCAGGCCCTGTCTCCCTCACCCTGGGCGACCCTGCGCCCATCTTAGCCACGTCTGGGGACATTTTGGGGGTCATAAGTTGTGGGGTGGGAGGGGCAACGTGACTGTCATCTTAGCGGGTGGAGACCAGGGACGCTGTTCGCTGTTAAACATCCTCCATCGCACAGGACGGTTCCCCACGAGAAGGACCAGGAGTGGCAGGTTGGGAAACCCTGCTCCAGGGCCTTAAGATCTCTGAAGTTCCGAATAAAGTATATAGCGTGCTTAAAATTCAGTTTAATCACTTACAAGGCCTCTAAGTGACAAGACGTTTTTAAAGCATCCGGAGTCACCCTAAAACCTGCAGCCATGAGTTGAGCAGGTCAAATACACACAGCTGTAAGCTGCTTTCTCTCATCCAGAGCAGATGGCCGGATAGGAATCAGGTAAATCACAGCTCACAGGCGGGGGGCCCTAATTACACGTTAGATCTGCAAGTACCAAAAAAAAAAGTGAATGGGGAGGTCTTTCCATCTAACTGCAACCAGCAGCTGAACCTATAAAAACCAACCCCTGTGCCTTTCTTTTTTTCAGATGGGAAAAGCATCCTGCAAGCTCAGGTTTGTGTTGAAACCAGCCTCAGAGTCCACCTGTCTCACTCATCCGTGGATTTCTGTGTGACCAGGTGAGTACCGTGTAGAACTTGGTAACGACTGAATTCCAGCAGTCTCCACTGTGTAGAAAAACTGCTAGTGGCTTTTCCCGTGCTCACGCAGGCTATAATCAAGGAACCACTAAGAGTAAGGGTATCTTAAGCAAGATGCAGGGGACAGATAATAAGATGGTTATGGTTATATGTGTGTAAATACATCAGTAAACACACATAAAACAAACACTTAAATAAGTATAAATGCATGTAACTGTAGGTAAATATAGATTTTCTTGCTTGTCAGAATGCTAAAAGTGTCTGGATTTTATATAAGTATAAATACATAACATACTTGTATATTTGTATAATACTATAAATGTTTCCTAGAGACTAGCAGTATTCTTCAGACCTACTCTATTTGACTTCTAAAGGCGTGTAAATCCTCCATAAAGCTTCAGAATACAGAGACGTTCGTAAAAAGATGATTTGAGCTACCTTATATTAGTAACAGAAATTTTAAAATTGAATTGCCAGCAACCAAATCTGTTTTGAGCAGTTAGAATTTTTTTTTTCTAATTACATTTAAAATCACTTGGAAAAATACTAAGTGAAAATTTGTAGATTGACAGGACACTAGTTTCCTTTAAAAAAGGTTGTCCTCTGTCGCTTGTCTCCCAATGGGAATTAAGTTTGTTTCTTAAAACTTCTCTGAAACAACATTATGGGGATTCATACTGCAGAATCATGTTATGTAATCTTATATTTAATTGTAGGGTTTTACTACTTTGGATGTGTTATGCCTTTTTCATTCTGGCTTCCCCATAACATTCTCAAGGGAATGTTTGCTTATCATGCAGTAGATACTCTTTGAGTGCACAGTTTATTGTGATCAACCTTCCCCATTTATTCAAGACCAAAAGATTTGCGAGGACACAGGACATTCAGTGTTTTTGTTTTGTTTTGTTTTGTTTTGTTTTTGAGGCAGGGTCTCTGTCGCCCAGGCTGGAGTGCGGTGGCACAATCACGGCTCACTACAGCCTCAAATTCCTGGGCTCAAGTGATCCTTTCACCTCAGCCTCCTGAGTAACTGGGACTACAGGTGTGTACCACCATGCCTGGCTAATTTTTTTATTTCTTTGTAGAGACAAAGGCAGGGTCTCTGTTGCCCAGGCTGGTCTCGAACTCCTGGGCTCAAGCAGTCCTCCTGCCTCAGCCTCCCAAAGTTCTGGGATTACAGGCATGAACCGTCATGCTTGGACTATTCAATGTTTAAACCAGGGCAGTCCTAGGGAAATAAGGTCATCTCCATGAGCCAGGCCCTGGGCCAGATGCACCCTGAAGAACCAAAACAGGCCTTGTCTCGCCTCCATGGAGTTTACATTCTAACAGGGAGGATGGATTTTAAACAACGCATGACAAGAGTGTTATGGGAGAACTTAGCATGAGAGGGAACAGAAAAGCCTTCTTGAGAAGGATATGTAGCTTGAGGGCCAAAGTTGGGGTCAGATTTAACTAGATGAAGGGCTGGACTGGAGTGAGGGCACAGGAGTATGTCCAAGAGAGTATGACATGCCAAGGTAACTGCGTAAGGAAAATCCCTGAAGCAAGAGAGCCTGGCATGCTCCCTGCACTGGGAAGGCAGGGGTGGCTGAAACAAGGCAAGAAAGGTGAAAGGAGCAACAGGCGGAACCAGACCAGGCTTTATTCAAGAAATGTGGCCAGGAGGGTGATGTGATTTGCACTTAGTGTAAGCATGTGGATGAAAATGGACTTCAGGGTGTAGAATCTGAAGGCTTTTAAGAGGCAAGTCAGGAAATATTAGGAAGACATGTAGGAGTTACATGAATGTTCCCCAGGCCTGGGTGATGGGTTGTAGACTCGAAAAGAATTTGAAAGGGATCTAGGAGTTTAGAACTGAGAGAAGGCATTGATGTTGGCATTCACATGTGCATTTGTCAGATAGCACAGACCACTCTGCAAAGCTGAGGCAGCCCTCTCAGCCAAGGCCGTGTGCCCGCCCTCACTCTGCTACTCACAGGGCATCCTAAAGGATACAGGCCTGGTCAGGCTCGGTGGCTCAGCCTGTAATCCCGCACTTTGGGAAGCCAAGGCGAGTGGATTACCTGAACCTGCGGGGTCGAGATCCACCCAGGCAACTTGGCGAGACTTCGTCTCTACAATTTAAAAAAAAAAATTAGCCGGTATGGTAGCGCGTGCCTATGTTTCTGGCTACTTGAAAGGCTGAAGTGGAAGGATCCCCAGAGCCCAGCAGGTCGAGGCTATGGTGGCTGGGAACATGGCCACTGCACTCCAGTCTGGGTAACAGAGTGAGACTCCAACCAAACAAAAAATACAGACCTGCGTTTGTCTAGAGTTGCCCTTTCTGGAATAGTAGCCACTAGCCACATGGTGACTTTCTGGTTAAACCAATGAAAGATACACACAAAACTCCCATTTTCTCAGTCACACTAGCCACATTTTTAGTGCCCAGTAGCCATGTGTGGCTGCTGTATTAGAGCAGAATTATAGGATATTTCTGTTGTTGTTGTTGCTGCTGCTGCTGCAAAGACAGAATCTCGCTATGTTGCTAGTCTCGAACTCCTGACCTCAAGTGATCCTAACACCTCGGCCTCCCAAGGTGCTGGGATTATAGGCATGAGCCACCATGCCCAGCCCTTAGGACATTTCTCTCATCCATGAAAGTTCTGGGCAACACTGGTGTAGAGTGGCCCATCTGCTGTGACCCTCTTCTAGCAGTGACATATCCAGGGCAGGACAGGAGTCACTGGATCTGTAAACTGATCAGAGACCTCTCCTGCTCTAATAGGAGATTTCAGCTGCCAGACAACCTTGAAGGGGAACTCAGGGCTTGAAAATATGCCAGGCGCCTTCTCTGCTTGCTTTCCTCTTGGAGCCCGGTGCACCCTCATGTCCCTCAGTTCAGTGACTGAAACTATTGCATGCCTAACTTCAAACTGGGTCTCTGGTGTGGGAAAAGGAAACATCTGGCACCTGTAGAGGGTAGGGAAGTTGTGCAGCAGTTGCCTGGGTCTGCTGAATTCACACTAAGGTCTCCCAATGTCTGATGTGAGCGGCAACATTAGTTGCCTGTTGCTGCTGTAACAAATTACCACAAATTCCGTGACTTAAAACAACACACATCTATTGTCTTGCAGTTCTGGAGGTCAGAAATCCTAAGTAAGTTGGCAGGACAGCATTCCTTCTAGAGGCTCTGGGGGAGGATCCACTGCCTACCTCTTCTGTCTCATAGAGTCTACCTGTATTCCTTGGCTGTGGCTCCGTCCTCCATCTTCCAAACCAGCAGGGCAGCATCTTCAAATCTCTCTACCTCTCATCTCCTCCCACTACACACACAGCCTCTGCTTTCATTGTCACATCTCCTCTAACTCCAACTCTCTTGCCTCCCTCCCTCCCTTTGCTAAGGACCCCTGTGATGACACTGGGCCTACCCATGTAGTCTGGGGTGGTCCCCCATCTCAAGATCCTTGACTTCATCACATCTACAGAATCCCTTTTGCCATGTAAGGGAACATATTCACAGATTCTGGGGATTTAAACATGGACACGTTTGGGGGGGGGGAGCGAGAAGTTATTCTCTCTCTGCCTCAGAGGCCCAGGAGTCAAATACTTGCTACAATTCTGCTTTCTCATATGTCTCAAGCTCTTACTGTCCAGTGCCCTCACCCCTGCCCACACATACCCTACACTTCTTCATCTTTTGGGTTCGTGGGGGTCACACATAGAAATCTCTAGAAGCTGGTTTTATAGAATTAAGTTTTATACTATAACTCCAGGAAAGGAGGCCTTCCCCTTATATAAAATGGAAACATTACAGTGATTTGTACCTTGATTTTCTTTTTTGCGTTAATTTGTTGGAGATGATGGTCTCTATCAATACCTAGAGATCTTTTCAGAGTTTTTTTCTGGCTACATATTTCTTCATCATGTAGATAGCCCACGGTTTATTCAGCCAGTCACCTACTGATGGTCATTGGTGTTCTTTTTAATTCTTTGCTATTATAAATAATGCCACAATGAATAAGCTCACATGTGACTTTCAGTATTTGTATGTCTTTGTGTCAGATCCCTAGAGGTGGGATTGATAGGGAAAGAGCAGACTTGCTTGCAGCTTTGCTTGACGTTGACAAATTTCCTTCCCTAGGAGTCACTCTCAGTTTATGAGAATGTCTTTCCACATGGCCGTGTCAATGAGGAGTGTGGGCCCTGTGTCTCTGTTGATGTGACAGGAAGTAGCAACCTGCATCTACTATTGTAAGTAAGAGCATCAGTGACCCCATCCAGGGTCTTGTCCTTGAGATGATAGTAGGAGAAATCAGAACATACCGAGTGAGGAAGGGAGGTAGTAAAAAGGTCTGGTGAGCATGGGCCAGGCTGGGCAGTAGCCAGAAAGACAACTGTGCTCTGAAGATACATTCATGATGCCGTGGAAGATGCTGGATCAGGCTCAGCTGGAGTGAGGAAGAGTCCAGGAGCGTGGGAGAGCTTGGAGAGAAAGGAGAGATGGGAGATCTTCAAGCACAGACAGCTCCTCAAAGGCAGGAGGGCGGACCCCAGGCCAGAGCTGCCGAGCAGGGCACTGCAGAAAGGGTAGCAACTCCTTGTCTGCAGCAGAAGGGATGGAGGAGAGCAGGGCGCTGATTGCAGTGTTGGCGACAAGACAGGAAGGTAGATTCCCTGTCGTGATTATTGCTCTGAGAAGTAGGATGCAGGATCATCTGCTGAGAGTGAGATGGTTCACTATCTGTTACTGCCTAAGAAACGTTAGTCACTTAAAACAATAATAGTCATTTATCACCTCTCATGATTTTTGTGGTTCAGGAATTGAGGAGCAGTGTGGCTGGAGGGTTCTGGTTCGGCACGTGCAGGAGGCTGTCAGCTGGGGCTGCATCTTTTAAAAGCTCAACTGGCACTCAAGGGCCACTCACATGGCTGTCAGGTCGGAACTGGCTACTGGAAGAAGGCCTCAGTTCCTCTCCACATAGGCCTCCCCACAAGGCTGCTTGAGTGTCTTCCCAGCATGGCAATCTGCTTCCCCTAGAGCAGCGTCCAGAAGACCAAGGCAGAAACTGCACTGCCTTCTGGGATCTGGCCTTGGAAGTTACCCATTGTCACCTCTGCCAGATCTGCCAGTCACACAGGTCAGCCCTTAACTTCATTGTGTGTCAGGAGTCTGCATAGGGTATGAGCATCAGGGGCTCAGATCTTCAGCACTGTTTAGAAAGCTGGTGACCACAGAGGGAAGAGGAGAGGGTGTGTGAGGCTTAAAGAGAGGACAGGAGGTTTGATGAGGCGGAAGCCACATTGACCCATAGGACCATCCTGCAGGGTCAGGGGCTCTTTTCACTTGTTATCGTGTTCTTCTAGAGGCAGCAGCATTGCTGCCTTGTGCAGCTGGTCTGCCCAAATGTCACCACAGGGCAGGCAGACGATTGGAGTCAGGCCTGACTGGCATTCTACTGGGCTGGCATGAAGGTGAGGGTAGGGATGAGGAAATTGACTGGCATCAGAGGCCGTGAAACCCTGAGCTGAATAAGTATGAGATGAAGTGACTGAGGAAGAGAAAGAAAGCAAGAGGGGGGTGGGCCAAGGCCTTTGTGTGGTCGGAGGACACATGTGATGAGAGAAAATGAGCTGATGTGGTGGAAGTTGAGGAAGGAGTTTGGGTTTAGGGCTGGGAATTTTGGAACTGTTGTTCTGGGTGGGGGTACAGCGCAGGTGATGACCAAGGCTGGGGAACCCGTAGAATGAGTGTTTGGGGGGGTCAGGGCGAAGGGCCCTGGAGCTGAGGGACCCTGAGACCCTGAGGCTCTCTGACGTCATCCAAGTGAGGCGGGCCTGGAGGTGGAAGGAATAATGGTTGTCAGGTGCAGGGTCCCCAGTGAATGAGGGGCTGTAGCTGGAACACATTTGGGACAGGAAGAATGTGCCGTGAGACTCCACAAAGCCAAGGTTCTCAAAGTGGGTGGAGCAGGGACATTTGGCCATAACACTGGGGACAGAGGAGATGAGTTTTGCCCTCATGTGGTCCTGAATTGTGGCCTGCTCACCAAAGTAAAGGCCTAGTGTGAAGGACAGAACGTGGTTGAAGGAGGGTGAGATGGACAGGCTGAGGAAGGCTCATCCTCAGCTGCCCAAAAGGAAGCGAAGCTGTGGGGACTTGGTGTTTTCACATTTCCTCCAGAGCGCCGTCCTGAGAGGCTGTGGGACTCAAGGGAGGGGCGTCCTGCTTCCCCTGCTGCCTGGCTGCTGGTGGACTCAGGATGGCGGCCATCGTCCTACCCCCCAGTGGTGGTGAGTCATGGGGTCCCAGCAGCCCTCAGAGTCCAGGCTTAGAAGGTTCCCACTCCACAGTGTGGAACCAGGGAGGGGGTTGGGCAGGGTAAGAAGCAGGAGTGGAGCCCCAGGGACCCAGAGGCCCCTGGTGTCTGATTGAGTGGCTCTGGGGTTTGGGTCGTAGGTGTTTGGGTGTCTGTGGTTGTGTCCCCTGTGACACATGTGCAGGAGGTTTTGAATTCTGCCATTCTTTCTATGAACATGGTGACAACACAGTGATGTCCTTGGAACTTCAGTTTTCCTATCTGTGAAATGAGAATAATCTCTCCCCCAAGTGCAGTGAGACCCTTGAGCCGTATTTTCTGGCATGGATGAAGCAGGCTGTGGCCTGGTTTCTTAGGAGAGCTGTGGGGGGTGTTTGTGTGAGGCTGTAGGTAGTGCTGCAGGGGTGGATGTGTGGGGACATGGTGGATCACAGGCAGGTGGGGAAGCCCCTAGATGTGTGTGTTGGACACAGAGCCTGCCTAAATTTCTAGAACTCATTTCTCTTCCTCCAGCTCGGTCTTCCCTGTACCCAGCCTCTCAGCAGAAAGCATGCACAGAGGAGGAAGGGCTAGTAAATGGGTTCCTGACAAGCTGGCTACAGGTGAGTCAGTATTCCTTCACCTGAAGTTGAACTTGTTATCTTCGGTCGCCTGGAGCCAACCCAGGTCCTGGGGCATCTCAGGATCTCAGGGCATGTGATGGAGGGTGAGGGCTGCCCAAAAATGTCAGTGTGCGTCAGCATTTCCTGCAGTTTCAAAGCTCCCTCTAGGGTCCCTAAGTACATCACATTTTCCTGAGATTTTTCAGACATGGCAGTGTCCTAAACCCACACAGTTTATGATGGCCGTGGGGGAATCATTCATTCATTTATATACGTATGTATCAGTATGGCTCTGATTTCTGCAACATCCCAGGCCCATGCCAACCCTGGGGACTGAGGAAATAAGATTGCAAGAACTCACAGTCTAACTGGAAAAAGACCACTGCCCTGTGTTTATGGTGCATTGAGCCTGGGGAGGGGCCTAAGAAGACAGGAGACAAGCCTTGAGGGCTGAGCCCAGAAGCCAGTGAGAGGAGCACTTAGAACCCTGCCCCACAGCTTATGCTCAGGTTCCCTGTTTTGGTTCTGTCCTCCGAAACCCTCTTCCTGTGCATGTTGGTGGAACAATCCTTGACTGAACCATGATGTTTGTGATGGTTTAGGGCCTGGTGACCTTTGAGGATGTGGCCGTGGAGTTCACCCAGGAGGAGTGGGTATTGCTGGACCCTTCTCAGAGAACGCTGTATAGGGACGTGATGCTGGAGAACTGCAGGAACCTGGCCTCACTGGGTAAGCCAATGCCACTTCTGAAGTCAAGTAATGACTCAGGTCGCAAGCCTTTCCCTCTTCCTTTATTGAGGTAGAATTCACATAACATAAAATTCACAATTTTAGCCATTTTAAAGCGTACAATTCAGTGGCGTTTAGTACATTCACAGTGTTGTGCAACCATCAACACTATCTAATTTCACAATATTTTCATCACCTGTAAAAAGAGCCCCAGGCCCATTAAGCAGCCAGTACCCATTACCGTCCCCATCTTCTTCCACTGATAACCACTAATCTACTTTCTGTATTTACGGATTCGCCTATCCAGAACACTCCATATAAATGGAATTACAAAATACATGGCCTTTTGTATCTGACTTCTTGCCTGTCACATGAGGTTTTAAAGTATTCGCTATATCGTAGCATGTATTTGTGTTTCATTCCTTTTTATGACTGAAGAATATTCCATTGTTTGGACATACTTGTTTATCCATTCATTGGCTGATAAACATTTGGGATAGTTCTGCTTTTGGGGTATTACGAATGACGCTGTTATGAATACTTGTGTACAAGTTTTTGTTTAAACACTTGCTTTCAGTTACCTTGGGTCTATACCTAGGAGTAGAATGCAAAGCCATGTGATACTTCTGCGTTTAGCTTTTTGAGAAACTGAGGAACTTTTCCACAGCAGCTGCACCATTTTAAGTCCCCATCAATTTTTAATCCTTTCTTTTTGCATCTCCCTAATGCCTAATGACATTGAGAAACTTTTAATGTACTTTTGGACTGTCTTTCTTTGGAAAAATATACATTCAAGTTCTTTGCCCAATTTTTAATTGGATTGTATGTTATCTTTTATAAAAGTTTGCCTTAGCCAGGCTCGGTGGCTCAGCCTATAATCCCCCACTTTGGGAGGCTGAGGTGAGTGGATTGCCTGAGCCTGCGGGTTCGAGACCTGCCTGGGCAACTTGGCGAGACCTCATCTCTACAATAAAATCAAAAAATTAGCCAGGCGTGGTAGCGCGCGCCTGTGCTTCCGGCTACTCAGAAGGCTGAGGCGGAAGGATCACCGGAGCCCAGCAGGTCGAGGCTGTGGTGGCCGGGAGTGGCCACTGCACTCCAGTCTGGGTGACAGAGTGAGACTCAACTCAAAAAAAAAAAAAAAAAATCAACTGGGCGTGGTAGCACACGCCTGTAGTTCCAGCTACTTGGAAGGCTGAGGCGGAAGGGTCGCCGGAGCGCAGCAGGTCAAGGCTGCGGTGGCGGGGAGCATGCCACTGCACTCCAGTCTAGGCGACTGAGTGAGACTCCAACTCAGGAAAAAAAAAAAGTTTGCTTTATATTCTGGGTACTAAATCCTTATACAAAATACAATTTGCAGATAATTTATCTGTTTTATGAGTATCTTTTCATCTTCTTGATGGTGCCTTTGATGCGTAAGTTTTAATTTTGATGAGGTTCAGTTTATCTGGGTTTTCTTTTTTTAGCTTGTTCTTTTGGTGTCATGACTAAGAAGCCACTGCTTCAGCCAAGGTCACAAAGATTCACCTCTATGTTTTCTTCCAAGAATTTTCTAGATTTAGCTCTTACAGTTAGGTGTTTGCTCCATTTTGAACTTATGTTGCATATGCTGTATAGAAAGGGTCAGCTTTATTCTTTTGCATGTGTATATCTAGTTGTCCCAGCATCTTTATAGAGACTGACTGTTCTTTTCCCATTGAATGGTCTTAACATCATTTCAGAAACAGAAAATTTTTTTATTATAGATACTTGAGTCAATTTATATACTCAGTTCTTTTCCATTGGTCTATATACCTTTCCTTGGGCCAGTACCACACTATCTTAATAATCATTGCAGTGTAGTAAGTCTGATGTCAGGAAATGTGAATCTTCCTGCTTTGTTCTTCTTTTTCACTGTTTTGTCTATTCAAGATCCCTTGCAATTCAAATCAGCTTGTTCATTTCTGGGGGGAAAAAAACCTATTGGAATTTTTATAGTGATTGCTTTTCTCTGTAAATCATTTTGAGTAGTATTGTCATTTTAACAATATTAAGTTTTCCAATATATACCCTTCTGTCACTCATTTTTTTATTTTACTCCATTGATGTTAAGGAATTTACTTTGTATTGTTTTCATTGTTTTTAATTTAGTGAGACTTTTTTTGTGGCCTAACATATAGTCTAACCTGAAAAATGTTACATGTGCATTTGAGATGAATATGTATTCTCTTTATATGTCTTTTAGGTCTGGCTAGTTTATAGTATTGTTTAAGTCCTCTGTTTCGTTACTGATCTAATTAGTTCTTCTGTCCAGTATTAAAAGTTGAATTTTAAAGTCTCAAACTATTATTGTAGAACTCTCTATTTTTTCCTCCAACTTTGTCACTTTTTAACATATGTTTTGAGGTTCTGGTGTTAGGTACAGATATCTTTATAAATGTTATATTTTCTTGATAAATTGATCATTTATATATAATATTTTTGTGTCTTGTAATAATTTTTATTGTATGAAATAGCTTTTTTGTCTTTTCACTATCAACATATTTGTGTCTTTAATGTAAATTAAGTCTCCTATAGGTAGCATATACAGATCCTCCTTGACTTTCAGTGGGGTTACATTCCAATAAACCCACTGTAAATCAAAAATATTGTGTTGAAAATCTATTTGATACACCTAACCTACCAAACATCATAGCTTAGTCTAGCCTAAACATGCTCAACACACTTGCATTAGCCCACAGTTAGGCAAAATCAACGCAAAGCCTATTCTACAATAAAATGTTGAGTATATCATTGAATTTATTGAATACTGTACTGAAAGTGAAAAACAGAATGGTTGTATGAATACTCAGAGTACAATTTCTGCTGAATGCATGTGGCCTTTTTACCCATCATGAAGTCTAAATGAACCATCGTAAGTTGAAGATTTAAAAATTCATTTTGCCAGGCTCTTTACATTGTTGAGTTTAATCCATTTTCATTTGATGAAATTACTGATAAGAAAATATCTATTCCTGCCTATTTACCATCTATTTGTCTGCTTCCTATATGTCATATTATTTTTGTTCCTCAGTTCTTTCATTATTGTTTGCTTTTGTGTCACATATTTTGTAGTGGGTCATTTTTATTCCTTTCTGTTTATTTTTATGTTTTTGAGTTATTTCCTTAGTAGTTGCCCTGGGGGGTTAATTAACATTTTAATTTATAACAATCTAGTTTGATTTATTAACCAATATAGTTTCAACAGTATATAAAAACTTTGCACCTATATAGCTGCATTCCCCCCACTAGCTATTTTGTCACAAATTATATCTTTAT